ATGGGGACACCTGGGGTGGTGTCCCCAAAGTGTCCTCAGTGTCCTCAAGGGACATGGGGACATCAGGAGGGACATGGGGACACTTGAGGGGACATGAGGACACCTGGGGTGGTGTCACCAAAGTGTCCTCAGTGTCCCCGAGGTCCACAAGGGACACGGGGACACCTGGGGTGGTGTCACCAAAGTGTCCCCAAAGTGTCCCCAGTGTCCTCAGGGGACATGGGGACACTTGAGAGGACATGGGGACACCTGGGGTGGTGTCACCAAAGTGTCCCCGAAGTGTCCCCAAAGTGTCCTCAGTGTCCTCAAGGGACATGGGGACACCTGGGGGGACATGGGGACACCTGGGGTGGTGTCCCCAAAGTGTCCCCAGTGTCCTCAGGGGACATGGGGACATCAGGAGGGACACGGGGACATCGGGAGGGACATGGGGACACCGGGGTGGTGTCCCCAAGGGGTCCTGAGGGACATGGGGACACCTCGGTCCATGTCCCCAAGGACATGAGGACAGGAAAGGGACATGGGGACACAGGAGGGACATGGGGACACCCAGATCCGTGTCCCCAGGTGTCCCCAGTGTCCCTTAGAGACACAGGAAGGACATGGGGACACCTCGGTCCATGTCCTCAAGGACATGGGGACACCAGGAGGGACATGGGGACAGCAGGAGGGACAGGGGGACATTCCAGATCCGTGTCCCCAAGGGTCCCCAACGTCCTTTGAGGACATTAAAGGGTCTTGGGGACATCTGGATCCGTGTCCCCAAGGACATGGGGACACCAGGAGGGACATGGGGACACTGGGGGTGGTGTCCCCAAGGGGTCCTGAGGGACATGGGGACATCACAGGGTCTTGGGGACATCTCGGTCCATGTCCCCAGGGGACATGGGGACAGCAGGAGGGACACGGGGACAGCAGGAGGGACATGGGGACACCAGGAAGGACATGGGGACACCTGAATCCATGTCCTCAAGGACATGGGGACACCAGGAGGGACATGGGGACACCTTGGTCCATGTCCTCAAGGACATGGGGACAGCCAGATCTGTGTCCCCAAGGGGTCCTGAGGGACATGGGGACACCTCGGTCCATGTCCCCAAGGACATGGGGACAGCAGGAGGGACATGGGGACACCCGGATCCGTGTCCCCAAGGGTTCCCAGTGTCCTTTGGGGACATCCAAGGGTCTTGGGGACATCTGGATCCGTGTCCCCAAGGACATGGGGACACCAGGAGGGACACAGGAGGGACATGGGGACACCAGGAGGGACATGGGGACATCAGGAGGGACATGGGGACACTGGGGGTGTGTCCCCAAGGGGTCCTGAGGGACATGGGGACAGCAGGAGGGAGATGGGGACACCTCGGTCCATGTCCCCAAGGGTCCCCAGTGTCCTTTGGGGACATCCAAGGGTCTTGGGGACATCTGGATATGTGTCCCCAGGGGTCCCCAATGTCCCTTGGGGACACCAGGAGGGACATGGGGACACCAGGAGGGTCTTGGGGACATCTGGATCCGTGTCCCCAAGGGTCCCCAGTGTCCTTTGGGGACATCCAAGGGTCTTGGGGACATCTGGATCCGTGTCCCCAGGGGTCCCCAGGGGTCCCCAGTGTCCTTTGGGGACACAGGAGGGACATGGGGACACCCAGATCCGTGTCCCCAAGGGTCCTGAGGGACATGGGGACACGAGGAGGGACATGGGGACACCTCAGTCGATGTCCCCAAGGACATGGGGACACGGGAGGGACATGGGGACACCCAGATCCGTGTCCCCAAGGGTCCTGAGGGACATGGGGACACCAGGAGGGACATGGGGACATCCACATCTGTGTCCCCAAAGGGACACGGGAGGGACATGGGGACACGGGAGGGACATGGGGACACCCAGATCCGTGTCCCCAGTGGTCCCTTGGGGACACCAAAGAGTCTCGGGGACATCTGGAGCTGTGTCCCCAAAGGTTCCAAATGTCCCCTGGGGACACGGGAAGGACGTGGGGACACTGGGGACAGGAAAGGGACATGGGGACACCTGGATCCGCGTCCCCAAGGGCTCCCGATGTCCCTTGGGGACAGGAAAGGGACATGGGGACACCAGGAGGGACATGGGGACATCTGGATCCGTGTCCCCAAGAGTCCACAATGTCCCTTGGGGACAGCAGAGCGCTTGGGGACATCTGGAGCTGTGTCCCCAAGGGTTCCCGATGCCCCTTGGGGACACAGGAGGGACATGGGGACACCAGGAGGGACATGGGGACATTCCGGATCCGTGTCCCCAAGAGTCCCCGATGTCCCTTGGGGACAGGAAAGGGACATGGGGACACAGGAGGGACATGGGGACATTCCGGATCCGTGTCCCCAAGAGTCCCCGATGTCCCTTGGGGACAGGAAAGGGACATGGGGACATTCCGGAGGGTTCCAGATGTCCCCAGGGGTTCCCGATGTCCCCAAGGGTTCCCAGCGTCCCTTGGGGACATTCCGGATCCGTGTCCCCGCGGGTCCCCGATGTCCCCAAGGGTTCCCGATGTCCCCAGGGGACATTCCGGAGGGTTCCAGATGTCCCCAGGGGTTCCCAGCGTCCCTTGGGGACATGGGAGGGACATGGGGACATTCCGGATCCGTGTCCCTGCAGGTCCCTGATGTCCCCAGGGGTCCCCGGCGTCCCTTGGGGACAGGAAAGGGACATGGGGACATTCCGGATCCGTGTCCCCGCGGGTCCCCGGCGTCCCTTGGGGACAGGAAAGGGACATGGGGACATTCCGGATCCGTGTCCCCAAGAGTTCCCGATGTCCCTTGGGGACAGGAAAGGGACATGGGGACATTCCGGATCCGTGTCCCCAGGGGTTCCCGGTGTCCCTTGGGGACATTCCGGATCCGTGTCCCCAGGGGTTCCCGATGTCCCCAGGGGTTCCCGATGTCCCTTGGGGACAGGAAAGGGACATGGGGACATTCCGGATCCGTGTCCCCTGGGGTTCCCGGTGTCCCTTGGGGACATTCCGGATCCGTGTCCCCGCGGGTCCCCGATGTCCCTTGGGGACATTCCGGATCCGTGTCCCCTGGGGTTCCCGGTGTCCCTTGGGGACATTCCGGATCCGTGTCCCCTGGGGTCCCCGGTGTCCCTTGGGGACATTCCGGATCCGTGTCCCCGTGGGTCCCCCGGGGGGTGGCGGGGAGGGGACAAGGACCCACCTGGGGTGTCACCGGTGGCCGAGGGTCCGGTGCCACTGGCGGGGCCGGGCCGCGCTACCTGACGGACAGCTGTGACGAGAGAGACACGGGAGGGGACATCAGGGCCACCACCCCGGCTGGCACCGGGGTGGCACCAGGGTGGCACTGGGGGGGACCCTGGGGTGGCCCCGAGGTGGCACCGGGGGGACCCCGACCCCAGGAGGGGGCACGGGAACGGCCCCGTCCCTGGGGGGGGACACGGGGGTGGCCTTGGGGACACGGGGGTGGCCTTGGGGACGTGGAGGTGGCCTTGGGGACACGGGGGTGGCGTTGGGGACACTGAGGTGGCCTTGGGGACGTGGAGGTGGCTGTGGTGACATCAAGGTGGCCGTGGAGACACCAAGGTGGCCTTGGGGACGTGGAGGTGGCCTTGGGGACGTGGTGGTGGCCTTGGGGACGTGGTGGTGGCCTTAGGGACATCAAAGTGGCCTTGGGGACACTGAAGTGGGCTTGGGGACATCAAAGTGGCCGTGGGGACATCAAGGTGGCCATGGGGACATCAAGGTGGCCTTGGGGACACGGTGGTGGCCGTGGGGACACCAAGGTGGCCGTGGGGACATCAAGGTGGCTGTGGGGACATCAAGGTGGCCGTGGGGACACGGTGGTGGCCATGGGGACACCAAGGTGGCCGTGGGGACACGGGGGTGGCGCTGGCCCTGGGCTGGGG